AAATTTTTGAAATTGGTGCAAGGGTCGATATGAAATGGACAAAGGAAGACCTTTCTGAGACGGAATGGCCAGCTGGTAAGTAAAATTAGGGGTAGTCTTTGTGCTATGTCAACACCTGGAAGCCTCTAATATCACATTTCAGGTTGCAACAAACTAGTGGCCTGGGAACCTTTATAGATGAGAGACCAGTGGGAGAGATGTTTGTAAAATTGTTTCTTTGCTGTTTAATACCTCTATACCACTGCGATCCGTTCAATAAAAATCGATGTCTTCCGTGTGAGATTCAATTGCAGAGAAAGCGGGACTTAACTAATAACCATGGAAATTAAATTAACACGTTAAATCAAAATCATGGGACTTTCTTTACTTACATACATAACGATAAGGAAATCCGTTAACCAAAAGGTGAAAAGCTTTCATTAAATATCATTTAAATGCAAATTTATAACTTTAAAATGATCGAGCATTTGTTTAGGAAGTACTAGATTAATCAAATGTTTCTTCAATTAGGCTGGTACGAAGCAGAGGTTCAGTCCTGTGACCGTGACGATGATGAAGTGGATTTGGTGTTTGTTGAGGAGCCAGGATTTGTGTACAAAATCCCTGTTCTCCCAAACTTGGTTTCTGGCAAACTGCGCATAAAGAAAGGATGACTCCAATCAAACAAACCAAACTATACATTGCTCGCAACGTGCATGATTTTCTGAAACTTTTCGTGAAGATGAACAAAGATGACATTATAGTGATTGATTTGATTGACATATTAATTAATTGACACATGAACTTAGAGAGGGGGGCATTGAGGCCTGTTACAAAAGCACAAAATCACATCCTCTTTTGGGGAATTTTTTTTCTAACAAAAACGAATAATTGCTTCCATGTTGTTTAAAAATCGAAAACCATATGCTAAAAAGGAAGAAATTACACGGCAAAACTGCATACTTTCGATGCGAAGACCGAAAAACCGATCACAAAAATGGCCTGAGTGCCTCCCTCCTTAGGAAAAGGATCCAGGAGAAAAATATGGGCACAACCCGTTCAAAATTGGAACAATGTACACAGTGGAACCACGCCTTACGCCAATCCCGTTAATAACGTCACCTCGTTTTTATGACCACATAATCTTGAATTGTTAAACGTTGAAAGAAATCTTCGGCTTTAGTAGTCATGCAGTTTCATCTAGTTTCCACGTAATCAGGAAACATTTTTAAATTAGAGATTGTTACTATTTGACGAAATCAGATTTGATCATCATATTTTTTAAATGGGATATAAATCTCTTATTTGATGGCTTAATTCACTGTTAACGTATTTTTGATTGCATCAATTTCTGGGTGCTGGTAAAAAAAAGGATAGAATAGATAAAAGATAATTATTTTACGAGCTGATCACTTTCTGGGTGTTGGTAAAAGTAAAAATATGTCAGGTATTTTTGAGGGATATTGTTGAGAGTAAACGTAAATCAATAGGTATTTCCGAGGGGGAATACATAGGCATTCCGAGTGAGTACTGGTGAAAGTGAACTCATCTGTAGGTCTTTCTGAGGGTTACTGTTGAAAGTAAACCCTTCTATAGGCTTTTCTGGGGGTACAGGTGAAAGTGAACTCATCCATAGGCTTTTCTGAGGGGGTACAGGTGAAAGTGAACTCATCCATAGGCTTTTCTGAGGGGGTACGGGTGTAGGTGAACTCATCCATAGGCTTTTCTGAGGGTCCGTCGATTAAAGAAATTGTTTCTGAGGGGTCATGAAATAACTGATGTCATCTATAGGGGGGGTGTGGATATTAAATGGAATGGCCCAGTGTCTGTCGAAGAGCCAAAAATCGGTCTTTTTTAAATTAAGCTAGAGCGCACAACTAAAAGGCTAATGAAAGTCTGACAGCTAGAATGCAGTCTACTATCATCCATGTGCCCAAAACACTAACAATCGTTTTGGGCCAGTGAAACAGGAAGAAACTACAATACTTACATTTCTTACGGTTACTCGACTTGGCATTAAAAACATCGCTGTTTGGTTCGTGTTTGCTGTTAGCCGTTCTGACGATTTTTCTGCGCTTTTGAGCTATTAAGTACCATAAGCAGTTAGAAAAATGTAGATAAACATAAAACATGATGAAATACCGCGATTGGTATGTATAAAAATGAGCAAAAGGTACTTAACCCATAGGGTAAACAAAGGCAATATCACAAGACCGCGCCATCTTGAAAATTCAGGGCGAAGGGAGGACTGGCACTAGCCAGCTGTTACTTGGAGGAGCGTGGTCGCGGGGTGGGGGTGGGGGGGGCGGGGGGGAATGGGTTGGCATTAGAAAGTAGTAGCACCTTCGAAAGAAAAAACCCTTTGTAAAAGTCGTCAGTAAAGCAAAGGAAACTCCTGGCCTTAGTAATAGTAACATTCTTGGAAAACAGTCTCAACATCATGATACCTCGTTTTAGTGAAATTTTCTTTGACCCTTCTTTATATCGAGGCTCCACTGTAACGGGGTGAAAAAGGAATATTTCTTATTAAATTAGCAACCTAGCCCGAATGAATGTTTTATTTCCTTTTCGGGTTTATCCTTATTATTATTATTATTATTATTATTATTATTTTTGTCATTGTCATTATCATTATCATTATTATTATTATGTAAGGTTAAGTTACTTCTATTTTTTAGAATTTGTAAATGAATAGTTTCTTTCTTCACTTATTATATATAGGATTGTTTTTGTTCACTAATGAAGGCCGAGGGTTGATTGCAAATAGGATTTTTAATTGAGGTTTTGTAATAAAGATTTTAAACGTTTTATTATTATTATTATTATTATTATTATTATTATTATTACTATTATTATTATTATTATTATTATCAATATTCTCATTTTTCTTATGTTCTTCACCCTTGTCCTTATTTCGGAGGAAGAGCTAAGCGGGGACGAGGC